AAATATACTTTTGTGTTGTGAGAGAGTTGGAGTAGAAGAAAGAAAGGTAATTTTTAATTTTTTTTTTTAGCTGTAGGCACAATACCTTTATTTTATTCATTTATTTTTTATGTGGTGCTGAGGATCGAACCCACTGCCTCACACATGCTAGGCAAGCACTCTACCACTGAGACACAACCCTAGCCCACAAGAAAGGTAATTCTCCATCCCATTATGGAAATTTAACAAATAATGCTTAAGTAGAAATTCAAGAAGTAGAAATACAAATTATTATTTAGATATAAAGGTGTACCTAAATACCAAATAATATCAAAATAAATGACTAACAGAATCAAAAGTAGTTGCTTCTAGGGACTAGAAAATGGGATAAGAAGTGGAGCAAGAGACTCCTCTTTTAATAAATCTCATAAAATTATTTACTCCTTTGAATTGTTGACACACTCATCTTTGACTTTGAGAAAGGCAACATGTTTCATTATATTTGTGAACAAAGTGAACCTGACAAAGTTTAGATTAAAACAAATTATGCCCACTTTCAAATACCAAAGCACAGCAGAATTGAAGGATGCTTCCAGAATTGAAGGATGATTCAATATTGAAAAATAATTAATATAATTCTTCATTGTGATAGATTAACAGATAAAATTCTACTAGAAGGTGAAAATAAAATACTTTCTTTTTTTGTAAAAGGTTAGATAGTAACAGACAAGTTCTTTCTTAAAATGACAGTATGTACCTACCATAAGTTCAAAACATGAGAAGGAATCCTACTGAACTCAGAAATATCCAAGGGTGTTCACTATCATCAGGTACTGGGAAATGCAATTGAAGAAGAAACAGAAATTAAACATATAAAAACTGGAAATGTGGAAATCAATTGTCCTTATATGTAAGTGGTATCATTGCATCCTTTAGGCAAATTTTTACTTCATTTTTAAACACTTAAAGTTTTTAGTTGACACATAACATTTAGATATATATGTGTGTATATTCTAATTAATTTGGTTCTGAGGCTCAAACCCAGGGCTTTGAGCATGCTAGACAAGCACTGAACCACTTGAGTTTCCTTTGCAGCCCTTAAACAGTCCTTTTAAAGTGAGTTCTTGGCTGTACAAAGATAGGCCACAGTGGATCAAGCCCACAGCTACAGTTTGCAGGCCCCTGCATACCCAGGAAAAAAAAAAAGTTGGGTGGGGCGGGGGGGGGGGAATCAAATAAAAACATTACAAACTTGAACAGAATTCAATAAATTCCGTTTTTACATATGAAAAATCAAACAGCACTCCCATCTAAAAAAATAGCTGGTTAGAAGATATAAAGAACAGATCCTATTCAAAACAGCCACAAAAAATAAAATTACTAAGAATAAACTTAATGAGAAGTATGCAGGATTTATAGTTTGAAAGTTTAATGCTACCGAAGGACATGAATGAATGCTTCACAATGGAAAAGCTCACCACGTCCTTAGGTTCTCAGCCTCATAAAGCTGTCAAAGATAGGGAAATCCATAAATCTCCTGTGATCCCGATAAAAATGCCAAAAGAGTATTCCAGGGGAACTAAACTAGCTGCTTCTAAATTTCATGTGGAAAAATTACTAAGAATAGCCAGGAAATTTTTTAGAAAAATTAAGAGTAACAAGGAAGGTTAAATGTGCCATGTATAAAAACCATTATAAGTCCTCCCTAACCAAAGCAACGTGAACAGAGAGAAAGACCACCAAAACCAGATAGAAAACTAAAAAATAAGTTAAAGTACATGAGAGAGTTTTGCATAGTAAATTAGCGATGTTGGCTCAACTGTATATCCGTGTGAACAACAAGAAAGTTGATCCCAACTTCACAAGTAACTCAAAACTAGATTCTGATAGGTGAAAGATTTAAATGAAATCATGCAATGACTAGAAAGTAGGTGTGAGAAGTATTGTATAACCTCATGTCCAAGGGACACAAAACTCAACACATTAAAGAAAAAGTAATGAATGTTAACCTATAAAAACTTTATATCACTTCTACAAATAATAATAATAGTAAAAATGACTCCTCAGTAAAGACAAAAATAAACAAGAAATTTGGGGAAACATAACTCATAGGACAGGAAAAAATGTATTCCTTAAATAAAAATAATAAATGTAAATAAGAACAAACTTTCTAAAGGAAAAATGAATAAAGAATAGAATTCGCTCACGGACGAGGAAACCCAAATGGCTCTTGAACATATGAAAAAACTGTTACCCTCACTAATAATAAAAGAAATGCAAATTAAAGCTATAAAAAATCTTTTCATCTATAAGGTTGGTAAAGTTTTTTTTTTATATGTTTGATGACCTAGTGTACTAATGAGAATGTGGGAATACAGACATTTGCATATTTTGATGGGAGTACAAATTGATGCATCCTCTATGCAGTTACATTTGCCAAACTAGCAAAATTCTAAATTCATGTATGCTTTGAATCAACAATTTCATTTCCAAGCATATATTCTGCAAATATACCTTCTTGTATGAAAAATGTGCTTACAAGGACATAGGATATATATCATATATATAATGAAATACTGTGCATCATCTATTAAATGTGTGGGACGGAGCTGGGTGCAATGGTGTGTGCCCACAGTCCTAGCTATTCAGGAGGCTGAGGCAGGAGGATCACTTAGAGCCCAGGGATTCAAGCCCAACCAGGCCAAAGAGCAAGACCCCCTTCTCAAAAACGAAAAAAAAAAAAAAAAAAAAGTGAGGCAGCTATTTGTTCTGCCACAGAAAATCCACTAAAATACAGAAGCAAAATATAGAGCAATGTATACACTGTGCTACCACTGTATAAAATATATTGTATATATATGTGTGTGTGGTGTGTGAGGAAGCTGGCAGTTGTGGTTGTTTGTGAAGAAAGAAGTCAGGTAGATGGGGGAGAGGAATGGATGGGGGACTTGCTTTTATTCAATGCCCTTTTGTGGGGGCATAGCGTACATATGAAACACACTTTAAAATAAAGCAATATATAAGTTCATTGCAGAAAATATAAAGGCAGTAAGGAAGAAAAAATACATACTATCACCACTAAAGACAACAACATTTTGGTGATTACTTTTCAGTTCTTTTTTTTTTTTTTAAACATGAGCATTTAATTTTATTCAGTGGTGGGTGTGTGTGTTAAGAGAGAGCGTTTTGCATATTAAATTACTGATGTTGGCTCAGCTGTGTATACTTTTGTATCTTGATCATTTCCTTTAATCATGAGCACTTTCTCATTTGAAATGTATTCATTCAGTACAGGTTTCTGATTGTTTCCTGGTTCAGAATTACAATTGTGTTGATATGGTCATTTCTTTTTGCATAATACAGGCAGCACGTTCTCCAGAAGAAATGCTTTTGTACATAATACAAATCATTAGGACTCAACACCTTGTCACCCAAGCGTATTGAAGAAGGGAGCTGGAGAGTCTGAGGTGTCCGGCTTACAAAGTGTGTTAGTCAGCTTTTCATCACTATGACAAAAATACCTGATATAAACTACTTAAAAGAGAAAAAGTTTATTTAGACTCACGGTTACAGAAGTTTCAGTCCATGGTTGGCTATTTCCATCACATTGAGTCTGAGGCAAGGAAGAACATCATAGCAGAAGGGCGTGGCCAAGGAAAGCTGCTCAGCTTATGGCAGCCAGGAAGCAGAGAGAAAGAGAGAGAAAAGTGGGGGGACAAGGTATAGTCCCCAAGGGCATGCCCATGAAGGCCTACTCCCTTTGACCAGGTCCCACTTCCCACAGCCTCCATCCCTGCCCAGTAGTTCATTCAGTTATCAGTGGATGAATCCACTGAAAAGGTCAGAGCCCTCATGATCCAATCACTCCCCAAAAGCCCCACTTCTGAACACTACTGTATTGGAGACCAAGCCTTCAAAACTTGAGTCTTTGAGGGACAATCCAAATCCAAACCATAACAGAAGGCATGATATCTGATAGGGAGGGAGAAGAGGTAGAGATGACCACAGGTGTCCTAGGTGAAGCCAACCAAGTGGTGGAGCAGGAGGAAACATTAGCAAAATAGCCCAGGAACGGGTGGACCTCCCCACACCCTGCCACAGGTGGGGGGAGGCAGGGACCTCAGCAGTCTTGGGGAATCAGAGCCAGGGCCACTAGAACACAACCCAAGCTGTTTACTGTGCCACCGAGTCGCATTTGTTGTCAGGGAGAGAGCCCTTATAACCGAGAGTAGATTTAATGTGCATTTGTCTAGCTCCTGCTATGACAGTACTCCACTGGGTGCTAAAAATGAAGAAAAGACATATAGTCTTCCCTCCTTGGACTTGTCTGGTTGCAGAACTCACCAGGAGCAATTACCAAGTAGTGCAGTGTGGGATGGGGAATGAAGCACGTGGTAGAGCACCTGCCTTACTTGTGCAAGGCCATGGGTTCAATCCCTAAGACACACACACACACACACACACACACACGAAAACAAATTAGTGCAGTAGATGCTGGGCCTAATGGAACATGCCTGTGATCCCAGCTACTTGGGAGAATGAGGTAGGAAGATTGCAAGTTTGAAGCCAGCCTGGGTCCCATCTCAAAATAAAATAAAAGGGCTGGGATATCAACGTTAGAGTGCCCCTGGGTGCAATCCCCATACCCGCCCTACACACACACACAATCTGCACAAAGTGGTGGGAAGCTGGAATTGCCTGGGGCACCTGAAGATTGAACCCGTCTCTATGTGCAGAAATGTATAGACTGTGGGATTGGGTGGAAGGATGGCTTCCATTTCTGGATATTTGACCTGCATCTTAAAAAGTGACCATACAAGTGTCTTCCCAAAAGTAGAGCTTGAGACAGGTATTTTCCTTGAAAATGTGATTCTACGTCTGGAGCAGGGAAGAAGGGAACATCTCTGTACAAGAATGCTTTGGGTTGGCGGCTACTAAGGGCGAGGGATACTAGATCGCACGAGAGCCCTGATGAGCTGAGGAAGTGCCTTTGGGAACCACAGCTCTGGACAGCAAAGGATGAGGCATTTATCTGCCGCAGTCTGGCTGGGCACAAAATAACCGAGCCGCCACACAGCCTTGTAGGTTCAAAACAGGAACTCCTTTATTCTCCGCACTCCCACGATCGCCAAGCATGTGGCCTTCTCCTGGGACACACCACCCACCAATCGGAAATCCCTCCTCCGGCAGTTCTCCAACCAATGGGAACTCTCCAGGAATCCCTGCAAGAACTCCAAAGTAGCAGGCCCAGGCGGGCAGCAGGGGTCTAATATACAATTGAATACACAGCTTAACATAACCATTATCATCTCAATGGCTTGCTGGCTTCACCTCTCAACCACTCCGTTCTGGCAAAAATGCCATGCGTCAATCCGACTTGGCTATGGCTCTCAGCACTTATCCCCAAATGCCTGCACCCTATTGCTCAAGGGTGGTCCCACAAGTTGTGCCTGTATGAGTGGACTTTCGGGAAGCCCGGGCCCTGGCCAGGAAGCAGGAGGCAGCTGAGTGAGGATAGGAGAACCTGGACGAAGCTGTACACAGCCTGCGCAGACCTGGTTGCTGTGCAGTGATAGGACCAAGAGGATTCACACTCAGCTATTCCAGACTTCTGCGCTCTTGGGAGGCAGAGAGGCACAAGCCTCAACACAGGGAGAACTTCTTCCACCTGTTTTTTTGCGGCATCCTTGGAGGGGCTTGGTACATCTAGGAGGCTGGAACAAACCTGGGCTGGGAATGATCTGCACAAGGTCTGAACGAGGTTTGACTCAGTAGAAATGACGTCTCTTCAGTGGTGGTGAGGCTAAAACAGTCCCCATCAGAGTCGCCCTGTAAGGTGCTGGCCACATCAGTGTAAATGTTGGTTTCCCCTCTTGATGGACCAAGCAGAGGGTTTCACTGCACCCAAGAGGGATATTGAAGGGAGAAGCCATGGTGAAACAAGAATTCAATTTACTTTGCATTTCCTTAATTCCAGATCTTTGAAGGATAGACCGTGCTCTTTTAAACTTCATAGCACATATAACCCAGAGCTGACAGTGTAGTAAGTGCTTAAGGGGAAACTAACGTTTTACTTAATGTCTCTCCTGGGCCAATGACTGAGCTAAATACCTCATATATGTTATTCGCTTAATATCAGTGATTATCTGACCCAGGCACTAGTCTCATCTCAGTCCCTATTGATAAGGAAATTAGGAATCAGGTACATTAAGTGGTGTATCTGGAATCAAATAACCAGGACAATGACACAGAATGTAGACCCTGATCTGATTTCAAAGTCCAAATATGCTCTCTTACCTTCCCATCTTGCTTGCTATGTTATGTTCCACCAACTAGATAAAATACCACCAACCAGCTTATGAAGGCAGAAATCCATTGTGTCACAGGTCTGGAGCTCAAAGTCTAAAATCAAGGTGACACGTAAAAGTTATGCTCTTCTGAAAGGAGACTCCTTTTTCCCCCATCCTGGCTTCTGGTGATTTATCTGAAGTCCTGGGCATCCCTTGGTTTGCATGTTCAGCACTTGGGTCTCTGCCTCTAATATCACATGGGATCCTTCCTGCATGTGTCTGTCTCTGTCTCTTTTCCTCTTCTCATTCAAATATCAGTCATATTAAATGAAGGGTGCACCCTACTTCAATCTGACCTCTTCAATAATTACAGCTGCAACTACTCTATCCTCAAATGGGGTCACATTCCAAGGGACTGAGGATTAGAATTTAGGCCTGACTTTTTGGAAAACACTATTTAATCCACAGCATTTGCCTAGCATACATTTGATGATTGGGTTAATAAACAAATGAAGAAGAACAGAGGTACTTACCTGTAAATTGGAGAAGCAGCCAATGAATAATTCTTCTCATTGGCACAGAGCTTCTAATTGACCTATTTTACGTATTGATCATTTTTATTCTTTTTCATGGGGAATTGCTGAAAAGTAAACCATTCCCACATTTATCCAGTAAAATAAATCACCCTCTCCATCTCTTTAGTTGCACTTTGTTTTGCAGTACTGGGGTTGAACCCAGGAGCCTTCTACCACTGAGCAGCCTCTCTAGCCCTTTTTATTTTTCATTTTGAGTCAGAGTATCGCTAAGTTGCCCAGGCTGGCCTTGAACATGCCATCCTCCTTCCTCAGCCTCCTAAGTAGCTTGGATTACAGGTGTGTGCCACCATGCCTAGGGAGTTGCACATTTTTATCCATACCCAAGATCATATACCTCAATTCATTGAATATTACTACACCCTATGAGTATGAAATAGTATTATCCCCGTTGCATGGATGGGGAAACTGAGGTGCAGAGGATTATGTAGCAAGCCCTAATAATGAGTAAAAAAATCAGGACTATAGTCCACATAATTTTTGTCCCTAAAGCCAATTTTTTCTTCTCATTAAAAAAAAAACTATCTATTTTTTCATTACATTTATCATGTATGAACATGTATTTACCATACTTTTTTTTTTCAAATAGCACAGTTACATACAGCAAAATACCACAACTCTCTTCACCATCCCCACACCACTCCTAGGTCTAAAACTCTGCCTGGCAGCCTCATTTTTCTTCCTGGCTTTTTTTCTTCTTCTTCTCTCTCTCTCTCTCTCTCCATTTACTGTCAAATATGTATATTATGTCTATTTTTAGGGCTTGTTTTTTATTTACATAAAAGGGATCACATTCTGCATGCTGTGCTAGGACTGACATTTTCCACTTAACAACACCCTGGAGATGATTTTTTTTTCATGTGTCAGCAGAACTGATGTTCCTCCTGGATGTACCAGCATAACAGCAGGGCCAGTTTCTGGTCACCACCCGTGCTCAGACCAGAGTGACATATTTCATTTCTTTTCTTTCTTGTTTGTATGTGGGTGCACACACATGCACACGTGTACTGGCGCTGCTGGGATTGAACCCCAAGCTTTTTGCATGCCAAATGGCCCTACCACCAAGCCACAGCCGAGCCACACCCCCAGCACTGGGGTTGCTTCTTTTGAATATTGCCCTGTGTGTCAATATGTACAGGTTTGGTGTCATTTGTTTAAATTGCTATGTAGGGCTGGGGTTGTGGCTCAGCAGTAAAGTGTTCATCTAGCATGTGCGAGGCCCTGGGTTCGATCCTCAGCACCACATTTAAATAAATAAAATAAAGGTATTGTGTCCAACTACAACTAAAAAATAAATATTCAAAAAAAATTGCTATGTAGTGCTTTGGGCTGCCACTTTTATGTAATCATCTGCTCTTTGTGTACATTTAGGTTTTCCCCAATTTTCACTATTTCAATAGGATGGACCCCAACATCCAGTTTCTATCTGTGAACATGTGTGAGAACATGAAACAATCTCTGCCTGGACACCTTCCCAATAAAGACACCTGTGATCTCTTCCTGTACAGTAGGGGGGACACTCCTTCCCAAAGGAGGCCCAGCTCTCTGGACCTCAGCACCCCCTGAGAATCTGAGTGGCTACAGGTACATTACCTAGGACCCTGGTTGCCCTTAGGACCACTGGGAGAGTCTGAATAAGGCCCTGGACCTGGACCTCATCTGCAGAAAATCTGATTAAACCAAACCAGGATGGGCCCCAGGCATCAGGATGACTTTTTAAATACTTCTATGAAAGTCAAATGTGTAACTTGGGGTTAAGAACCAATGACAAAGGGCCTTCCCAATTTTATTAAGTACCTGCCAAAAGATTTGAAACCTAAAGAGGGAAAAGTATTAAGAAAGGAAAGGCAAGAAGGAAGGGGAAAATAAATGGGGTAGGAAATAAAGAAACTTTGAATCGTGTCCCACAGAGGCTGAGATCCGCCTTCTCTCTACCCCTCCAAGGGACCCACATGTGGGACTGTGTCTCTCCCCAGGTGCTGCACCCCTAACTTGTGCTTATCACAAAAAGTCACTCCCCCAATCGAGTCCCAAGTCTAAACCAGCCTTTGGGATAAGGACCCATCAAGGGGACTTTCTGCACACTGTCACCCTTGTATATGATGTGATAGTGATGGGATCAGGACATTGTGGATTAGGCAAAATGTCTAGGACTTCACAACACAGAGTGAAGCCTAATGTCAGCTGTACACTTTAGTCAATAATGATGTTTCAATATCAGTTATCAATTGCAACAAATGTATCACACCATGGTTAGTTGTTAATGACAGGGGAAAGGAAAGGGGATGAGAGGAAGGACATGGGGACTCTGTACTCTGCTCAGTTTTTCTGTGAAGATAAAACTGATCTAAAAAATAAGACCCTACATACTAGTTCTCCTCTTTCTCTCCCCTTACCCTCCCTAGGAGAGTGGTTGAAACTTTAAAGTCTTTTGATTGAGAAATGACAGGATCACACAGAGCCTTTAATGCCTTAATTTTTTTTAATAAGTCAGTAAATAAATTAATCAACACAAGTACATTCATCCCAGTGGCCTCCTGCAGACACACACTGAGAAGAGCAGGGCCCCATGCATCCCTATACCTGTCCATCCATCCCCCAGCTCAGGGTCCACAGAGGGCACCTGCTGTGCTCACAGCTTCTCACGCCTCTTTATCATTCCACCAAGGCCACCTGCAGTTAAGGACCTTTTTTTTGTGTCCTGTGAACCCTCTTCTTTACCTTTCCCCTCACATTTCTGGGCCCAGGACTTTTTTATTTTTCAACTGAGGCTAATCTGATTACAGTGAAGGTGCTAATAAGGTGAATGAATGCCATTAACAGTACCAGATACAATCTGCATGTAAACCTGGGCTTCTGAGGGCCACGGGCTGGAATGTCAAGCATCTGGGGAGCGGCCAAGGAGGGAGGCCAGAGGGAGGGTCCTCTCCCAGACCTTTGGGGAGCCTCCTACTGTCCACTAATCATCCCCTTCATCAGCATTGTATTTCAAAGCTGATAATCAATTTACTAATGGCTTTTTTTTTTAGTTGTTTGTATACACCCTCTCCCTTTATTCTCAGCGACCCAATAAGTTACTGTTGTTTCCATTTTGCAGAGAAAGACCTTCAGAGTGGGTGAGCTAAGAAACCTGCTCCAGAGTGATGTTCAAACCTAGTTGGGATGCTGTTTTAATCTTCCTAATCTATTTCTATTGGTGAGGTTCTTAGGTTTATATCACTCCTGGGGACGGCAATGGATAGGACCCTGGCATGCATGCAGGTAGGACCCTCAGCAAGAGCTTCCTTCCCTCCCCATCTCCCTCTCCTGGCCCTGCAGAGCTAAAATCATCAACCCAGTTAGATTCCGCCTTCAAGGCAAGCCAAGCCAGTTTTTTTTTTCTTTTTTTAGAGAAGGGTCTTGCTAAGTTGCTTAGGGCCTCGCCAAGTTGCTGAGGCTGGCTTTGAATTCAGGATCCTCCTGCCTCAGCCTCCCAGGCCACTGGGATTACAGACATGCGCCACTGCGCCCAGCTCAAGGCAGCTTTGGTCCTCAAACATGTGTAGATGGAGCCATTGTTGGCCCAGGTGGTTGGAGCACCATGTTAAAGAGACCAAGACCACGAGTGCGATTCACTAATTTCCCGCACAGTTGCAGAGTGCTGGAAGAGTACCAAGTGTGGAATACCAAACATGACTCAGATATGTACCCTGCCCTCAGAGAGTTCTTAGGAGAGTAAAACAGAAGGGTCAGAAAGAGAGGGTGGGATTGAGGTTAGGAACAAACGGGCAAGCGAATTTATTTGGGGGAAACCCCACCAGGGATTCTGAGACTGTGTCTCCCATTGTCTGGGATGCACGTTCATAGAGTATGTTACAATCTAACCCAGTCACTGGCTAGATAATTCTAGAGACATGGTCACTAGATGGAAGGAGCCAGGAACAAATAATGCACAGGAACGATTGCAAAGCCGTCCCTGCCCTTGTTCATTTATTTGACAAATATATACTAATTCGGTTCCCACTTTGTGCTTGGCACTGTTCTAAGCCCTGGGTAGTCGAGAGGGAAACAGGACGGATGTAGCCCCTGCCTTGGAGTTTTCCTTTCACTTGGGCCACCAGACCACATCTTGATAATGCAGTAGATATAAAATATCAAGTGACACTTAGTGCTAGGGGAAAAAAACAGGGTTATGAGAAAGGAAAAAATATATTACCTTAGAAAAATAATTGGATGTCTACAGCCTGTGCCTCACAGGGACATCAGCAACACCAGTTCCCCCTGAGAAGCACAGCTGCATCCTTGGAAAATAAGCTAAATGATAAATATGCGTGGATCACAGAAGAGAGAAGGTATAATACCAGAACCATGATGTGGACTCAGACACCGAACGGTGGTGTTTCTGAGTTTCTCCTCCACCTTGGTTCAAATCCTACTTCTGTCATTTGCTAACTGTGTGATTAGGGGACATTTACATGTTCTTTTTAATTTTTAGTTTCCTTGCTTGAAAGCTGGGGAGAGTAATGCCCCTTAGGTTGCTGTGAAATTCGAAAGTAGGTGATGTTTGTGAAGTTCTTGGCACAATGTCCAGTACTCAATAAGTTCTCAGTAAGAGGTAAGCACAGTCAGGAGTTATTTAAGAGTGGGGACACAACAGGTTGGTATGGTGGCCTGGGCTGGAAATCCCAGCAACTGAGGAAGCTGAGGCAGGAGGATGGTAAGTTTGAGGCCAGCCTCAGCAACTTAATGAGACCCTGTCTCAAAAAAAAAAAAAAAAAAAAAAAGGGACTGGAAATACAGCTCAGTGTTAAAGAAAAAAAAAAAGAAAGAAAATTGAAAGAGAATGGGGATACATTCTGAGAAGTTCATCCCTAGGCAATTTTGTCCATGGGAATATCAGAGTACATTAAGTGCATTTATATAAGTCTAGCTGGTCAGTCACTCAATGTGGCCTCTTGATGCTATGGAGAAACAAGGGTTGGGTTTTTCTTTATTTTGGTTTTGGTTTTTGGTACCAGGGATTGAGCCCAAGGGTGCTTAACCACTGAGCCACATCCCTAACTCTTTTATTTTAAATTTGAGATGGGGTCTCACTAAGTTTCTTAGGATCTTGCTAAATTGCTGAAGTCGGCTTTGAACTTGAGATCCTCTTGCCTCAGCCTCTGAGCCGCTGGGATTGCCACTGTGCCTGGCAAGAAACGGGTATATATGAGATCTATGAGTCTGCTGCCAGCATAACAGGGCACACTGTTTATAATAAATCTTTTAAAATATGTAACCAGGAATACACTCTAAAATAACCACCAAGAGCTGGGAATGTAGCTCAGTGATAGAGCACTTTCCTAGCATGTGCAAGGCCCTGGGTTCCATCCCAGGTACTGCAGAATAAAATGAAATAACCATTAAAGTACAAACTAGTGAACACCTAAATCAGCAACATAGTTGTTTATTATCATTACCAAATATTGTGTATCACACATAATGGTGTGGTCATGGAGCTGGTAGACAGCAGGTTTGTTCACATATGGAGGACCCCGCACGTGAATAACGTGTTGCACTATGATGTTACAATGTCACTAGCCAGCAGGAGTTCTTCAACTCTTTTGTAGCTTTATGGAACCATTGTCATAGAAGTGGTATTTCACTGACTAAAACATTGTTATGTGGCACAAAGATAGACTATTTTAATTTTTGTTACCAAGAGTTGAAATAGTCCAAAATTATCTTCCAATTTTAATCCATCATCAATAGAAAGTAGAAAAATTTGTCCTTATAATGCTTTATTTTTTTTTAAAGTAGTCCTGTGAGTCCACTGCCTACCCCTGCCCTGAAAAAAAAAAAATCTCGAAAAAAAAACTCCAAAGGCTTTGAGATTCCCTTCTGTCCTGGTCAGGATGCCAGGGTCTGCCTACTGACCGCTGTTGTCAGTCAATGTTTAGGGAATGAGTGCATTTGGCACGTGCATATTTAAAGGATCTGTGTAGTGAACCCTTTATACAGTGTGAGCCCGTCTCCCCTGGCTCATCTTGACTCTGGGCAGCTGTGGCTTTGGCTGGTGAAGACAACCCTGGGTCCTCCCCTGCGTGTCAGCAGCCACCCAAGACCCTGCGGTGGCTGGGGAACCAGCCAGGGTCCAGATTCAGCCATGCATCACCCATGGGTCTATTTTCCGAAGAACCTGAACTGGCACAACCCAAAAAAAGTATTTTGACCCCAGCATGTTCTTCCTTGATTTCCATACCTTTAATTCAGAGGTCTCTGATTCATTGAAAATAGCTCCACAAGGTCTGATTTTTTTTGTGGGGGAGGGCGTACCAGGGATTGAACTCAGGGGCACTTGACCACTGGGCCATATCCCCGGCCCTATTTTGTATTTTATTTAGAGACAGGGTCTCATTGAGTTGTTTAGTGTCTCGCTGTTGCTGAGGCTGGCTTTGAACTCTTAATCCTCCCACCTCAGCCTCCTGAGTAGCTGGGATTATAGGTGTGTGCCACTGCGCCCAGTTCAAGGTCTGATTTTTGAGAGTCAATGACTAAGATGACTTTCTTTCCTGGTCATTGTCGTCATCTTTTCTTCTTTTTTAATTTTTTTAGATGTTGATGGACCTTTATTTTATTGATTTATTTATATGTAGTGCTCAGAATCGAACCCAGTGCCTCACACCCGGTAGGCAAATGCTCTACCATTGAGCCACAACCCCAGCCCCTCTTTCCTGGTCATCTGAGTCCATCTACTCTCAATTCCAACTCAGGCCAGAAGCTAGAGAGGTGCCACCCAAATTAATAGTGGGGAGGGGAGCCCGGGCACCATGCAGGAGTAGATTTAATCCTCCCAAATAGCTCATGATTTTTCTCCCTGGTTCACAGATGAGTGCACCAAGGCTCAGGGACAGTCACCTGACTTATAGTTTGTAAGTGAGAGAACAGGGTTGTGAAATTGGATCTGCCCAACTCCCAAGCCTGCCTTTCCCCCTGTGCCACCCCACACCCCCAGGAAGCAGTCCATTCAGCTCCAAGGATGTGGCCCATAGCTGAAGCTTCACCTGGCTTCTCAGTTTCCTCACCCAGAAGGTCTATGTTAGCAGGAAACTAGAAGGCTCCTCTCTCAGTGACCCAGCAAATCAGCTCTGGGTCTAGGATACTATACTATGAGCATTGAGAATTTGCCATCTCCTGAACCACAGATCCTGGTGTTTGGGGAATAAGTGGTGCCATACTGCCTGGAGTTTGACAGAGCCTCGGAGTCTGTCACTCTGGGGCCATGTCCTGCCAGACCTCAGGTTCCCTGGTCTCTGAGATTCCTTCTCACTTCGACAAGCTGCAAGGGTGAGTCTCACAGATATCTGGATGCCAGAGAGGGTACATGTGAAGGCAGAACCAGAGGTCAGGTGCTCAGATACCATCAGGATTTCTGTCAGAGAGCAAGAAAGGCTTCCTGTGGAGGAACTCAACTTGGCAGCCATTAGGGAGAGTTCTCAGAAAATCTGGGAAATCGACACGCCTCACCTGACTTAGGAAGAGCCTCTGTTCGAGGACAAATGCAAACCTTTTAGTCTGGAAACATTGTGGATAAGTGCCTGATGACATGAGGCAGGGAAGGGGGGGCGTTCTACCCGGGAAATCAAACTACCTGCCCCTTGGTGGAGTTGCCAGGATCAAAGAAGATAACGTCTTGGAGAGCTGGTCAGCCCTGTGGTGCCAGCGCAAGGATCAGGGTTCCCATTGTGAGCAGCAGCTGGGGGCTCTCTTCTGAGGCCTTGGGAGTAAATGGAGGCAGCATTGACTTTCATTCAGGGGGAAAAACCACCCAAGTAAGAGGAGCGCAGTCTGAAAAGCACCGCAGGTTCCAAGGTTCCAAAGGAATGATCACAAATGTCCAGTGTTTTGAGGTTCCGATCAAGGCCACTGCCTCTGAACACAACAGACCGTCATCCCTTCCACCCCTCTGCACATGCACACCTTTCACAATGTCTCATTTGACCCGTACCACACCTTCAGGAGGTGGTTCAGGGTGCAGTTATCCCATTCTATGGATAAGGAAATCAGGCTTCAAAACTGAGCAGTGAGAACACCCAATGCAATGCAAGCAGGAAGCTGTGTAGCTGCTGCTTCTCACTCCAGGTAGAGGCCAGTGTCCTTTCCACTGTGATGTAGCTCATGCATGTGAAAGATGCCCATTTTTCTTCCAATCCCATTGTGATATCAGATGTCCAAGAGAGTAGTAACATCATGTCATTGCCCTGATCTTGATGTTGTCTCCATGTCTTGACACTTCTTACCGTGTCTGACAAGGTCCTGATAAGTTGGCTGACCTTTGACCTCATTCCTGCTTCTTCCCACTGCCTCTATATATTCTAAGCACACTAACCTTTCAAGGACTCAGTGACGCCAGCCATACTGACTCCTGCCTCAGGGCCTTTGCCCATGCCACTCCCTCAGTACAAACTCATCTGCACTATTCTCATAATTTAGATCTGAGCTCAAATGTCATGTCCTCAGAAAGGATTTTCTTGACCATCTCAACACTCAGCCACTCTCCATCTTGCTCTGCCGTAGTCCGGCTGCAGCAGAATAATCAGGGGGGTGACGAACAACTTGTGTAGATTGATACAGCAGGAGTAGGAACCGTTTATTGCAGGACAGGAGCAGTATTTATACATTCCACACAGCTTATCTAATTAGCATAAACTAGATACATCAGTCAACCAATCAGGAATCTCTACACTTAATGGCTCTCTTTTGTTACTTCTCAAATCACTCCCTCTGGCATTTTGCCAGGCACCATCCAGACTTGTTTACGAACTCTAGCATTCCCCTGGCAAAATGCCAGGTGTTATTTTGACTTGTTTACAGACTCTAACATTGCTCCTTTTTATTTTCTATGGCACTTATCACTATCTAAGTATTTCCAGTTTATTTTTGTTTGTTTGTCACTCCCACCACCAGTCTCAAGAATGTAAAGTCCAGGTGCACAGTGGCCAGGGGCCTCATCTGCCTTTTTCCCTGAAGGAGGTTCCTGACCTATGTTTAATATGTAGCAAGCACTCAATCAATATTCATCAAATAAAATCAGTAAGTCTTTATTGAAATGTATTCAGTTGGTCTGTGGACAGCATGCGGAAATTGTTAAGGGCTACAGGTGAAAGGGAAAAGCCTTCTGTGAGTAATACTGAGATGTAGTTACCCACGGTTTCAGCAGCCGTAGATACGTCCACAGACAGTGTGAATCCTGGGTGGGACCCTCCCGGTGGGACCCTCCCTTCTTCTTTTGGTCTGTGTTTAATCCTGGACACAGCTCTGCGGTCCACAGCTCCCTAGGTGCCGCCACTCCCTAACAAAGGCTGAGGGTGGGGAGATCGTAAGTCCTGGGCAGTGGACAACTGACTGCTTCTGCAAAGCCATCAAGTGAGAAACACTGGCGAGTCACAGAGGGGCTGGGCATCCAGCAAGAGCGGACACTTCCACCCCTGGCCTTAGAACTTGGCCAACAAGAAAACAAAGCTGGCTCTCCGTGGCCCAAGACTCTCCCCATCATCAGCCCTTTCCTTCCCTTTCTACACTACGAGATCAAGTCCCAGGGCCGACCCAGGCATCCTGCAGCTGCTGGCTGGAAGGGCTCTGCACTGCTCCTTCTCCCTCCAAGTCTTCAGGTGTAGTGGAAGAAGGAGCTGAGAGTCCGTCTAGCTGAGCTGCTACACACAGGGACCCTGCATCTGTGGCAGTGAAGAGC